ATTTGTATATGATTATATAAATATATTAATATATATTATAGATAAATATATAAACATACATAATTACATTTTTGTACATAATTACATTTTTGTACATAGACGTATTATTATTTATTACTTTTTATAATTATATTTGGACAATTTTTTACCAGGTAAATCTTTTTTACTTTAATAAAAAGAAATATGCTGCCAAGAGATTTATTCTCTGTTCAAAATTTTTTTCGCTGAATGCGATTTTTAATTATATAAAATAATTATATACAATATATAATATAAGCAAAATAATTCATGTTCAGAAAGAAAGTCGATTGGAGTAACACAATACAACATTATTATTTTCATTTCCGTTCATATTCTATGTTTGACGTAAAATATCCATTTTTGATCTTGGGATAAATTAATTTATATATATAATTTGGAAATATATAATTTGTTGTATAACAAGAATTATCGAGAATTGCATTCTTACGTAAAAATTTGCATTTCTGAAGAAAAAAGACTGTATCGTAATCGTAATGACTGTATGTAAATCCAGTCATTTGCGAAAGCATTATGATTAATAGCGAGATTACTATGAATTAATTAGTCATAATAAAAGATAATGTTTATTTGGACTTTTGTAAGTCACGCGACGAATCATTTATAAAAATAGATGCGGTTGTGAAAAAAAAAGCGAAATAAAAAAAAGCGAATACTTTTATTTGCTGCGCACTAAAATATGACTAAGCGACTATAATAGCGTCGCTTGCAGATAAATACAAACTTCCGCAAAGTTGTCCCAATTGACAACAAATAACGAAAATAAAAAATATAATTATTCGCATAATATCAATAGATTTATCGCGTGCTGACTCTATCTTCTCTTTGACTTTTTATTTTCATTTCTGTTTTTATGGGGAGATACGAAAAAGGAATGTGTCGCCATCAAATTAATCTAACTCGGATATAACCTTATGATCAATAAGGTATACGAGGAACGACGAATGGAAAAACAAAAAGAAAATCTTCAAACAGATAGATGGAGATATGAGGGAGCGAGTGCTTTTAATACCGACGCGCAGATGCAACAATAAAAGTATATTAGATAATGACACATGCGCTCATTCTCTCTCTCTTATTTTCTAGTTGGAACTATATTGTTGGTGCATTCATATAGATTGCTTGCGACGTGATACCTGAAAAAGTTGATCGAAAGCCAAATTTTCATTCAAGCTTTCGTTGTGTGTTCAAACCACACAAAAAATATTGTCTCTCACATCTATAATAATATATCACATTCAACGATCGATTTACGATAATTTAGTGACTTGATTAATTGACGTCAAAGGCGGTTAATTTATTTCAGGTCGTTGACTTATTATCTTCATCATAAAAAGACCGTTAAATAGATATCAAGACGAGATATCCTTTACTCACACTGTATAGATTATTATGTCAAGAGATTTACGTTTGTATTAATTTATATTTGTAATTTATCTTGAGAGCGTATGATTAATCTGAGATGAATATTTCGATTCTCTATAATCTCTTTCCAATTGATGAATAGAATGGACAATTTTAATTTTTATTTTATGTGATTTTAATAACAGAAATATTTTGTTTAAAAAATATTGACATTTAAAAATATTAAATATAAGAAAAATTTAGCAATTTTATAAAAAATACGCAATATACTTTTTTAAGTTAAGACGAATTTCTTCGGATTTGTTGGCTACCTGATTATTTACATGGATTACTATTTAAATTTCTTTTAATAAAACTTTTCTTTTCTAATAAAATTTCTTTTAATAAAATTTCTCTTTTTTTCTGAAAATTAATTTATCATTAATTAAGAAGGACTTTAATAAAAGTTAAATGGTTTCATCTAAGGAGTGATTAAGGTACACAAAATATTTAATTGCAGCATAAAAGCATTGAAGCATAAAAATAATTTGATAATTGTATTATTACGCAATATTCACATCATAAACTCATATTGATCTTGATTTGATTTCTCTATAATTTTTTCTTTTTTAAAAGATAGACACACAAAAAAGAAATACTTAAATTTTTCTGAGTAAAGGAGAATTAAACGGTTTTTCGGTACAAAGATTTTTTTAAAGATCCAATTTATTATAAAAACCGATATGTGATTGCAATAATAGATCAAAATTTTAAAATCGCGATTATGTATATAAATTAAGATTCAAACGTGCGCGTTTAATGCAGGATATAAGTATACGTTATTATGTTTTGCATGTCATTTATACACACGCGACGCGCATTGCAGACAATAGAAAAAAAGAACAGTAATCACATGCGAAATCACATGCGTCGTGCATGCAAACTTCTCGATGCGTCTAGAGTAATCAGATATATTTTTTTAAATCAGAAAAAAAGGATACAAATTCCTTTTGATACAACTCGAACAAATTTGAGTGAAATGGGATTAATTCCTGGTTAATAAAAGAACACAATAAAAACTATAATTTTGTGCAAAATTCTAGTTTTTTGCTCTATTCCATCCCCTCCATCCTCTCTTTCCATTTAATTGATCAAGTCTGCATTCTTTTTCTGATCTGATCGCTCTAGATATATCACAAGCGAGTCCAGAAATTTTTTTCGAGGATAAACGGAGATCAAGGCTGCTCGCCACAATCTGTCCGCTTAAATATGCCATATCTTTTGAAATCTGATCGCCTTTATGATAATAAAAAAGAATATGAAAAGAACTTCTGTTGACGATGTTAGTTACTAGGCTATCTATCAGCGAGAAGCCATAAGATGATTAAATAATCGACGGCGCACATTGTATCTCAGAACTCTCAATACTATGTACTGAGATGTACGTTGTAATGTCTCAACAAAATCGATTTTTAAAACCTTTTAATATCTAGGCCATTGATAATTAAAACTTGTCATATATATCAAAACCATTGAGAAAAGTGTAAAAATCTTATAGATTGTTCTACTATTTTCTTAAAATATTGGTGTGAAAGCTGAACAAAATTCTTTGAGATTTGTAAATTGTTTAATTATCATAGAAGAAATCGCATATTGCAACTTTAATATCAAATAAAACCTAAATAACATATTTAGAACATATCGCTTCATCTTTCTCAAAAAACAAAAATTTTATAGAAAATAAATTCGAATGTTTTGAGTCATTAAGATTTTATAATATTATTCTTGAATGCGATTTTTGTGTAATAATTGTGAAGAAATAAAAGTATCATTAGCTATTCACTCAATATATTGAATTTTTGTGTTATAAAAATAAATTCTTTAAAAAATCCTATTTGACACTTTTTATACAAGATTAGAAATTTAAAAAGCAAAGTTTTAAAAACCTAATTGTGTCGTTCCTTAATAAGTTCGAAGATCCATTCTTTTTTGCAAACAATTCGAAAATAATTTTTTTAGTTATATCGTAACAAATAAGTGATGTTAATCTTGTTTTAAAATTATTAATTTAGCATATATAAATAATTATTTTTATACTTTATGTAAAACAACTCACAATTTTTCTATAAATTCCTTCTTAAATGGGAGACATTCCAAGTTCTACATAAATATTTCTCTTTCTAGACGATGACTTATTTGCAGCGTAGTAAGTGTATATGTCGATGTAAGTTAAAATTATTTATTTATGTATTTATACCTTGTATTTAATTTGTATTTAATTATGTATTTATACTTTATATTTATATCTAGTCGTTATCACGATGTTGGATATTGCATTATGATTAGCACATATCGTTATGCGATAACCTGTCAAATTAATCATCGATAGTCATTCACCATGCGAGAAAGCCAAAACAAAAAATACAGAAACATTTTCATAATTTATTTCAACAATTCTATCATATCAGAAAAATATTTTTGTACTAAAAATACTCAAGATGTACCAAAATAGTTTACGTTGCTTTCGGACGATTTGTCTCACTCGCGTCAGATCTCAGGATAGAAATCTGACGTGTTTCTATCTTTTACACCGTTATATTTCGGTCTATGTGCATTTTAATATGAATTTTATATGTGCACATCCCGATTCTTCAATTGCTTCTCACATTACACGGCACATGAAATTAAATAGCACACCTGAATAAAATTACACATGTTATTGATAGAGATTATAGATCTTCTAAAATAGATCTTCAATCTCTTAGCTTTTCACAAATAGCCGAAACATTGCTAAAAGTGAGATTAAAATGATAACAAGGTTCAACATTATTTTGCATGTATCTTTATTGGTATAACGACAATTGTAAATTCCGACTGCATATCGCGAATAATCTTCTATTTTGACCCATTTTAGTAGTAACTAAGTGATTTGTTATTACTAAGGAAGTTTCAAATGTTTCATCGAAATATTCAACCAACTAAAATGTATTTCTGAATTATTATCATATATTTGCATATCGCTTGCGTAGATCAACATCTGCGTGTTGGCTTGTCATCTTCATCTTTTCATCCGTCGATTGAAAAATATAATAATTCTTCCGTAACAATTCTGCACTCGTTGTCATTCTGTCTCGGTGGCAATACAAATTTTCTTCATATTTTCAGATAAGATTGAAAAATTAATCTCCTCTCTGAAACTGATTCTTTCGAAGGGCATATCGATTTGAAAATGATGTCTTACCTTGATCACCCCGAGATAATCGATAATTAATTAATTAATGATCGATAATTAATTAAAATGAAGAAGCGAGAAGCGGACGGGTATTATCGCGTCACGAATGATTATATCGTCAGTCTTCCTCTCTTTTCCCTCGATGAAAATTCGCGTCCCTCTCGTATTCCTCTTCACAAATCGACGAAGTCCGCTTTTATCGTTCGGAGACGTCGGAATCGTTCTATGGATACATTTATTCTCGATAATTCGATAATTCGCGATGGACGTAACTGGAGCGAAAGTTATCGCGACGTCAGTTTTTTTTTTTTTTTTTTTTTTCCTTAAAGCTCCTCGACATCGTGCGCTGCGCGCAAATCGATACCGTTGAAAATAGAAGCCGAGTGCTGTGTTTGCATCGTCACGTGCCAACTAATTTCGCAAACGCAACTTTGCGGTTGAAACGGCCGACAGTTGTCACGCGTCGACTATTGTAATCGCGCATTATTGACGAAAAAACCGCATGCCGAGCGTGCAAAACACGAACGAACGCGAACGAACAGCCTTGTTTTCGTCGAGCGCGAACACATCATCGCTATCGAAGGCAAGCTACTCGTCGTTCGCGTTTGCTCCCTCGGTCCGATCTCGGTGTAAAATTTGCGTGTTACGACGACGATCGACGATCGCAATGAATGAAAAAGAAAAGAAATGAATGAATCGAAAGGAGAACGAAAACGCAAGTCTGACATTCTCGCTTCACGAACGTTTGCTCGTGCTCGAGTTTTTGCTACGTTTTTTTCCGCTGGCACCAATCACGCTTGATACTTGATCGCATTTTATTTCTCAACGAAGCTGTAAAAAGGCACATTAAAAAATTACACGTTGACCTTAATGAAGTTTGAGGATAAAATAATCGGCGCGCGCAATTACATTTTCGTGTGACACACGATGACAATGATAGGAATGAAGCGAATTATCGTTTTACAAGCGAAGACGGAATCAATGAAGTAATATGATATAGTGTTAGGTATATAAAAAAAAATTTTTCTTTTTCGCTAAAGATTACTGCGTCGCAACTGCGTTCTAACATATCAAGAATAACAATGTGAAATATACAACCAAACATTTAATTTAAGCGAGTATTTAATGACGCACATTGTGTAAATCCTTTCCGTATTAAAACGACTCTGATGAACGCCCAAAGAAATTTTCATTTAGTCTCGCTGATAATTGCTGATAATATCTCGAGATATATCTGGAGACGATCGCCCGAAGGTGATTTTTTTTCCTTGTCGAGATCGGGGAAGGTCGTTTTAAAACGAAAAGAATTACCATGTTAGAAACTCGACAATTATTTTATATTTATATATATTATCTATTATAATAATTTTTATTTCTTATAATATATTTAATGCTCTTCATCTCGTTCTGTATTTATATATTTATAGATATATTTATATATAAAACACATAGCTATATGACATACCAAATGTTGTTTGCTTAGCAATGCGACTCTGATATTCAATGTTCTTCGCTAAATGCACATGCACGAAATTATATAAAAGCGGATGTACGATCGTTTTGATTAGAATTAGAATTCTCACAGACATAACGTATGTGTGTATGCGTATAGCGCCATATATACAAGTCTCTTAGTAAGCTCAGCCGATAAATGCAATTATTATACGAACGTAAATAATATTCCAAATATTTGACGTGTGAGAGTCACAGAAAGAAACTATCGCAGATTTATGTTTCGAAAAGACGTTTCGAAGAGACAAAGTACACACCGGATCGATTGATTGATCGAGTCGCATCGAGTCAAGAAACGACGAATAAAATGTAACATTCTCTCGCGCGTTACCATTACAGTTTCTCCAAAATGCGTTAAACTAAAAATTTTTCGAAGCGAGGGAGGTTTTAAAACTTCCCAATTAGAGATAGTATACTCTAAGAAGGAAAAAAAAACAAGATGAATGTGATAAATATTAAAAAAAAGTTAACAATTATAAAAGAGTAAATGTATAGTCCGCATAATCACGCCAAATGTCGAGTCGGAATCAAGTGAGGTACAAATAATTCGCAACAATGATATAACACGGCTGTAATAATTTACCGTGTATATAAGCGCTCACTTAATACAAACTGTATCATTTGCGCGAATTTAGATATTTTCGTGTGATATAGGATAAGGGGAACGTGTAAGGGGAAAGGGATGAGACGGGGAAACTCTCTCTCTCTCTTTCTCTTGTTAGTTATTACATTTTCTTTATAATTCTTCAATGCGGTATTCCCTTAGGAAGCTGCATATTTAACAATTTGTTAAAAGCTAGTTTATATAATATTATATGTCCCAAGTTAGTGTGGCTCTTAAAATATATGGCAGTCATCCGAACGCAAACAGATACGTTTGCAGGAAAAGAAGTCAAGTAAAATACTGCGCGTGCGATATGATAATGAAAGCGATATATCCTAAGTGATCACGGCTGGAATCGTTCTCGCCCTCCTTTCAGTATTGTCAGAGATTATATCTGCTCCATAACACGAGAACTCGCGTGAAATGCAAAAAAATGCATTAAAAAAATGTTGAAAAACCTGAACTCATCGTGTAACAATAATTATAAAAATTATCATAAAGTGTGACTAAGATATATCTCCTCCAATCTATATTCTTTGCGGACTCAACAAGATCGAGCTCTTTTCTATCGAATAACACTCTTAAAAAAAATTGCTGTATGTAAAAACATCGCAGCAACTTATAAAATATTTTGTACCACAAAGAAGACATTATTTGTTTCCCGTGAAGGAAATGATCGTGCCTCTTAAAAAATGCGTGGCAATATATACGTAAAATATAATAGAATTAAATCGCGTGTCAAAAGTTTGATCACGCTAACGTGGGACATTGAAAATGTCGCTTGTTCTTCAACTAGCAAAGTGTCCAAAATTCATTGAAGAACTAAATTTAATTAGACTTTCAATAGCCTACACTTGTAAATATCAACATATAACCGTTAAATATCTCCGTTCTTCGAATGTAGGCGTTTTTCAAAGACCCGTTCAATCCATCCTTCAATTCATTTCATAACACCGTGGCCATGTCTTCTAATTTTATATTAGCGTTGCTTTAACCATGTAGAGCGACGAAACATTTCTCATAAACACGATGTTGTGCAGACGCATTACGAGCGGCTTACACCGTACTTCACTGCTCCAGTTTAGCTGAAAATTAGCAAACGTGAAAGGTGATAATTACATTATCATTAGGACATAATTATCACTTCCAATTATCGTTCTTTGTTTTACAGTTTAATAATCATATATACGATGGTGAGATTACAAGAGAAAGGGTATACTATAGGAAATCAAAATCTTTGTAAATCATTAAAATGCATTTTACAATTTCTCATATTTAATAGATTATATTGATTAAAGTTCAATATTGGCAATATTTAAATTAAGATAAAATCACAATAATCGATAATAAAACAATCGCTTAAAACTTGAAAGAAAATTTGTTCTATATTAATATCAACTATTGCAATTATATACTGTCGTTATGTATGAAATACATACGTTATACAAGAAGGATGCTACCATATAAGAATTCCAACGCATCATAAACAATTTGTATATCGCTTATAACTAATATATAAAAATAACAAGTATTTCGTCATTGAAAAGCCACATTGTAAAATATGTGTCTCGCACGCGTCTAAAGATAGACACGCGGATGACCGATTACCTCTACGATAAAAGTTCCTGGGAATATTCTGATAGCAGAAAAAGCGTGAAGAATAAATGACGATGTCAAAAGCGGTAGTCGAACATAGCTACAATCTAGAATTTGACAATGATACACAATGATCTGAGATCTACATAACACACTATCTTATGCGAAATTAAAAAAGTATTAAAAATGAAAGCGGATATATATATATATATATATATATATATATATATATATGCATATAAGAAGCACCTATTTACGTAGATGTCGAATGATGTAATGTAGAGAACAATTGCGTTTCACATTTTTTAATATGCATGAGAATCTTAAATAATAAAGTTTCTGCAAAAATTTACAATGATTTTTAAAATCTCTCCAACTATATCATTTCCATGATATATCTGTAACTCGGCACTTTCTCGCGGAATATTGTTGGGTAAATATGAAACATAGAAAGCTCTACATACATCCAAATTCTCTCGTTTCAGAGAAAAAGAATTCACGTAATCATTCCGCATTCACAATTGGAAGAACATTCCTGTTGTATTTTCCAGAAGCTAATCATAACGAAAAGTCAAATAAAAAAAGAAAAATAATTGGAATGATGATCGATTATAATCGTGCAATAGTGTACGACGGTAAAATGATCTAGATGATTGTGTGTGCGACTCACCGCATTTCTAAATGTTGTTCCAATTGTGTACTGTTTCATACGTTCATTGGTTTCGCTTTCTACTTTTTGGCTTTTCTAAAATATGATAAATGAAATATGATCGAATGCGATAGGAATGATGAATGGATATGACATAAAGTGAGGGCACGTATCTTCTCGAATCATTGACTTATACTTTATGAGATGATCGTCCGTCACTCGTGAAAGATAATGACAATGAATAATATCCTCTATGATAACCAAATGAAAAATTTTAATTGTCATATTTAATAATTGATTAAAATAATATTTCGAATTAAAGAGCCAAAGAATTAAGACAGATCATTTTGAAAGAAGAAAAATTAGTATTTTAAAATGGAATAAAGAAATATTAAAGGAAAGTAAAGTGATGGAAGATGATAAACGCGTATTTTTTTATTGCTAACAGAATATTCTCTATTAATTTCATCCGGACATATTCGAAAGGATAAAGCAAGATAATAACAAAATAACTGGCATCCTTATATACAAGAATAGCTTGTCTTGGTTTAAAACGCTGCAAAACTTAATAATTTATATTCGCAACATTATCAGACATCAATTATAGATTTATATTAGAGTTTTATTACGACGTAAGAGAGAATATTTTATTTGTCAACGTTGTAAGATTTTTTTTTATACAATTTATTCGGTTTCGCTTAAAATTCTCCCGCTGATCGATTCACGTTTCTATATTATCTCAAAATTCTTGCGTACAATAATTCTTTGCAATAGCAAAATTTCCCAATGAACACTTACTTTTTCTTGAGAGTGAAGAAACTACGCCGCTTAGTTTCGGCTTGTGTCGGGGCTGGCAAAGTGTGAGCCCTAGATGTACTTGCACCTGATGTTCCTTGCGCCGCTTGATTTAATGCGGACACCCAATCGTTCATTTCAGTATCGTCTTTGGCCTGGAACAGGAAGTCGGATCCGCTTTGCGACCTATAAAAAAAAAGAAGTTATATAGTAATATTGACATCAAAATCTTGTAGAATATGCATAACGAATGTATAACGAATATGTCGAATACTGACTTGACTCGGAAGACATGTTTCTTCTTAGTGTAATCACTCGCTACGGTAATAGTTGCGCCTCGTAAGTCAAGGGGAGCTTCTCCTTTGTATGGTTGATCGGGCGATGCTTTGTACGACTTCTGATCTTTATATACATATAAATTCTGTCCACGTACGACCATGTAAACCTTGTCCCAGGAGCGATTGGACGCCTTCTTCGTCGTACTTTCCCACTCGTGCTTTCGCTGTAATGGCCCTTCAAACTCGTCGTCGCTCGGACTTCGTTGCTCTGGAAGAGATAATAAACTTTCACTATTTATTCCTTACTTGATAGCAAAAAATTTTCTAAAACATTTCAAATGCATTATAAATTGTACGAGATAATAATGCCAGTCTGCATTCCTTGCTTCAGATGAACGATAAAACTGCAAATAATCAATGATACATTATTCCAAGGATTAGTCGTAACATGTATTCGATGAAGTATACCCAATTATAAGATTTAATTCTACCGATTTACCAATTCCCAATCATTCTAATTAATGAGTGCATTTATTTGAATTTCCCAACGAGCCATATAATGTACACCGTAAATTGATACTTATACTTGAAATACCTATACTTTTATAACAGTACTTGAAATAAAAGAAATTGTCCCAATTAATCATTCCTTTGTTTGTTAATAGAATACAAGTGAATTCCAAGAGTATCTTTCCATAACATATAATCTTCGCATTTGTCTCCTTGAATACACAATAAACAATAGGATCGTTAAAAACCTATGTAATTGAGCTATGATCAATTAGTTAGAAGCGATTAGATGCCGGGTTTCATATGATCCCAGCTTCTACTTAAATAATATTCCCATAATAGTTTCCATATTTTCACAAACGCGAACGTACTAGCAGATATTGTATTCCCAATTTTCTCGAGCAGTGATATCACTTTTTTGATCAGATGTCGAATCTCTTCTCACATTTCTTACTTTTATGTGTTGTAATACGCACGTGAAGATTGTATGTACACGTGACAAAGATGTATACGTAAAAAAAGAAAAAAATATTTGGCTTCCAACGAGTGTAATTGTCGATCATGAGGTCTCTTTTCTCATTCACTTACCAGGAATACTGTGCTCATCATCACTCACGCCACTGCGATCTAAACTCGGCGACTTGGCGGACTTTCTCCAGCGGAAGCTCCTGAATGGTGACTTGCTGCGGCTTCGTTCCTTACGCCTTGCAGCCTCGGAGCCACTGCCTTTCGGAGCTTTACAACGTACGCAACACACATTAACGTCCATTAGCTTACTTACGCTGTATTCTAGCTTGTAGCGGAGATTTGTATCGGGTAAACAATTTGCCGCTAATAGTCCTCTCATCCATACGCGTTATTTTTTTTTTCCCATGCTCTCTAACTACATATAGAGAATATACACGAGAATACACACATGCAACATGCTCATGCAGAAGATGCCAAATGAGCAATGCACGCTTGTCAAATTACATATAATTAAATTCTGAGGAACACTTTGCATTTAGTCCATCATATTAGTAACATTAATTCCATTAATAAAGATATTTTCATGAATATTAAATGTCTAATAAATAAGTTTCTAAAGTTTGTCCAAAAAAATTGTGTCCTCATTTTCCTAGATGTAATGCTTGCCAACTTGTAATACTCGATTGAACAGTCATTATTTACTTTTTTACAATACCACAGTTGTGGGTCTTGAACGATGAAGTTGGACGATAAATAAAAATAAAGTCGATCGTAAAAAATTTCGTGTATCTGTAATGACGATGACGATTTGCGGCGTATAAGCATGGAATAAGCAATATCTGATTTTAAAAGAATGATGGATCGCTACGCTCATATCCAATGTAAAAAAATAATACGTTCGGGATGAATGTTTGTTGTGTAGAAAAGTCAGAGGTGCATCCACCATTGGTACGATCGATACCAATGGTGTCACAGCCCGCGCCATCCTGGTCAGCTGTCGCGATAATCGATATGAGAATGCAAGAACTGTCGTCGCAGCAATTTGCGGGAAAATATCTAATACTTCTCTTCTATCCGTGCGACTTCTCGTTTATGTATCCCATCGAACTTATCCAATTTAGTGACCGCATCGCCGAACTCCAAGTTCTTGGTACAAAGTTATATTTTTCTTCCCCATTCTTTTGATATTATAGTAATAAAGTAATCTATCAAAGAATACATGTGAAAAATGTAAAAAAACATTCACCATGCAAAAAAAAATGAAAGCTTTAATTACTTTATTGTATGCTAGTTAAATCATATGCATTCAGATTTTAATATCTATAATATTCCCTTTCACTTTTATTAATATTAATTATATTTCTTACGTTTTTTTTTTTTTACTAGGCTCAGAAGTAGTAGCAATCTCAACGGATTCCAAATTTTCGCACTTCGCGTGGGTGACAACTCCACGGAAACAGGGAGGCTTGGGCGAAATGAAGATTCCGCTGCTCTCCGATAAGAATCATCAAATATCGCGAGACTATGGTGTATTAAACGAAAAACAAGGATACGCGCACAGAGCTCTGTTTATTATAGACAGACAGCAGATTATACGTCACGTAACGATAAACGACGACAACATACCGCGGTCGATGGATGAAGTGCTACGAGTTGTGAAAACTTGTTGTTTTGTGGATAAAAACGGCCCTAATATGTCTCCTTACTGGCCACTTACGACGAAGAACGCATTCAAAAAAGAACCAGATTATTTCAGCACAACTTGATCCCGATTGCATTTCTATACCTGGAATTACTCAACCACAATAAATGTAATTTTTTTTTTTGTCAACTGTATGGTTTACATCAATCCTGAGTGATCGAGATTTAAATTGATTTTGAATGATCACTTACAGCAGTACCAGTGGCGACTAAATGGCGAAAAACATTAATAAATGACCTTTCGACACAAGTAACTTGAGATACGAAAACACTTTGCGAACACTTACTTGTCGGCGTGCGGATACCATAAGGCGGAGTTTTCGCAGATGTTGGCGTGATAGATGAAGTCCTATCTCCTTCCCGGAAAGACAGCTGTCTAGGTCTTTGTGCATGCACTACACCACACCAATCACAAAATCATGCTATGTATTACTTGGTACCAGTACATCGTTTGTTAAACGCGTCGCAATTCGTCACAGTCACATCAGCATCAATTAATGAAAATAAAATTGAACAAAAAAACGGAAACTAAAAATTTGAGCATCATTGTACACGATGTTAATTATCCTGATAATTCTTGATAATAATATGACCATCACGGATATTCGATGCAATGCTATACGCCTATACAAACGACAGAATCCAAAATCATGCTTTTCTACACCTGGATGCGAATAAAATGATTTCGTGAATATGCTTACCTTCTAATAAGAGATTTATGTGTTATAGGTGAACATGAACATGCGATAAATAAGAGTGTAGTATAGTTAACAAATGTGTACCTACCATGATAGTAGTGTGAATGAAATGGTTCGCAATAGTTTAGTATAATTATGAGAAAATTTTAATTACTTATTGATTAATTAGAATTTTGCTTGATTTCATCGTTGTTATATGCACTTTCACACGTATGCGTGCCAAATATTATCTAAAACATTTGATAAATTGTTTTCTCGTGACAAAATCGATGTCAGGTGACAGAAAAAACATCTAGGGCAGAATAATGGGCCTTCACCTAGAAGAGAAGCTGGAGAAAAGTTAATAGAAGCAAGTGATTCATGTGGGCGAGAGCGCTAAGTGCGATGTGGCTACAAGTATGCTGAAAGATGTAAGACATATGTGACTTAATGCTAACGTGAGATCCGAAGAGCAAAGCTATCGTTAAGTACGAAGAGTTGACTTGATCATCCATCCATCACCAGTTTGAAAAATTATACGATCCTATAGGATATTTGATTCGTTCAAGGTTATAGCTTTGAAACACGATTGCACAGAAATTTAAAAAATATACTCGATATATGGAAGTCAGTTTTTCACGTTTCGATACGATTCATACGTATCGTGTAACACTCACCTTCCTTGGGCTTATCTTGAGGCTGTGGTGTACGTGTAGAAGCCTTGCGATGTGCCGCTATGGTTCGTGCATTCCGTGCCGCATTAGGGTGCATTTCGGATAGGTAAAATGAAATGATGTGGACGATGGATTCGATCGAAGGATCGGAATAAGTTTCGGGTGGGGTAAAGGCAAAAATAAACGTGCTGTTAGCGATGTCACATGCTTATCCAGACAAATCGTATTCATAATACTAAATCGTCGGAGTTGATTTTTTTACGTCAAAAGCAAGATTTATCGCTGCGGCTCGATTATTAGTTATGACAGAAACGAAACCTTACGTTTAATCTGCCTTTCAATCTCTTTCGGTTTACGTTACTACCAATTGCAATCATTATCACGCCAAGTCAACAAGAGTTATACGAACGCTATTAGATACAATTCTATTAGAAAAAAGCACTCGACAATATATTTTAAATAATGTGCGTGTGTTATATATCGGTTATTTCAATATCGGCATCTTCAAACAAAATGCAAAACTGTAGATAGAATTAGAATAAATACCGAGAAAAATTATCATAATTTCTATTAGTAAAACCCAGAACATATCCATAATGTGTAATTATATTACCATGTTCGTCCTCTCCGCGTTCTCCGCTGGTTGCGCCATCAGTTTCAGCTCTGTAATAAACAAAATATATAATAACATATATGATTTGGTGCCAAGTTATCGCAACGATTTATTACCTTTCGCTAGGTGGTTCATCTGGACTAGTAACGGGTGTCGCTTTAGCCAAACGTGCAGCTTCCGCCGCTGCCGCTTCCTCCTTTTTACGTCTTTCTTCTTCTTCCCTTTCTTGCTCTCGTCGCTTTAATTCTTTCAACTCGAACTATAAAAAAACAAACAAAAAAATTGTATATTCCTTTATGCCAAATCATAATCAATAATAAACTGTATTTATAAGAGATATTTATAAGAGAGTATTTAAACAAGTATTTAAATATACATACAACATTAATAACAATATACAACAAAAAATATATTTCACAAACTTTTCTATTACATTATTTAACTACAAAGGGACCGTATAACTACTCACGGTAGTAAGTCGGTGCAAGGCACTAAACCTTTCCTCTTGTGCAGCTGCCGATTTTTCGAAAGCCTCGTGTTTCTTGATTAAATTCTCAACTTCGTCGATAGTATGCTGTGAAAAATCATAAGTTTTTAACAAAAAAATTCAATTACAAATTCAAATTCAAATTTTTACAAATTTTCCATTTTTAAATTACTTACACCAAGTTCCTGGCTCATAAGATACGGCTCTTGAGCAATTAACCATGCTTCAGCAACTGCCGCATCTCGGGCGAATTGATAAACTTCCAAAACTGCAACAAACATAAATAAGCGAATTATTATACACAATATATTATATGATAAGTATACAAGAACAAAACATATTTTTTCCGAGTAATAAGTACAACTTACTGAGTTGCAAATTCTCCCAACGTTCTTCCCATCGGTGTAACAATGCATTTCTATGATCGGTCAATGCCGCCAGTTTTTCTTTTATCTGTGCGCTGGCATAATGATTTCTAGCTAATAGGTCTTTTCCAAGATTAATGCACGCCATTAGATTATCTTCCCTGGCATCGATCTCCGCCTTCAAGCTCTGATGATTATTCATCAGCAATTCAACGCCGGCAACATCACGCGGTTTCTCAGACGTGTTCATCTGGCGCACAACATCGTCCATCCAGATCATCAAAGTCCTGACCATATTGAAGAATCGGAAGAGATCACCAGTGTCCTCCAATTTGGCTCGTCTGCCTTCGCATAACGATTGCAGATTATTCCACGCTGCCACGACTTCAGCCTCGCGATTTGTAATCTCTCGTGCTTTGTCGCCCGCGTAGCTCGCCTGCAGCTTGGCAGATTCCTCCTCGATCTGCGTCACTTGATTTTGCAATGTGGACAAATCCTGAATAAAATTGGCGTGCTTACGTTGAAGGGCGGACACCGAGCCGGCGTCGCGACCCAATTCATCGGACATGGCGTTTTGTTTCTCCAAGATTCTACCGAGAACATCCTTGCAATCGTGGAAGAATTTGTGCAACTCGCGGCTGGCCACCAGCATCTGTGTGCGCGTCTCAATCAGTTCGAGCAGGTCTTGCCAGACCTCGTTCAAACCGTCCTTCCATTCAGCGATCGTCGCCGCATCGGAATGTCCGGTAGCGATCAGAGAATCAGCGATGCCATTCACGGCCTCCACTCGCTCGGAACCGATCGCTTCGGTGTCGCGAGCGAACTCTTTGAATCTCTCCCACAGCAAGGTCACATGGTCGTAATCCTGGCCCAACTCGTGACTACCGGCGACCAGTTCTCTCTCCTGAATCCATTGTTCGAGATCGTCGACTTCTCGGTTAAGCATAAACAGCTGAAGTGCCTCGTCCAGTTTGGCGCGTCGCTCGCCCGCCAGATCTTTCAAGCCGGCATAGAGTTTGTCCACCTGCGACTGCTTCACGGCAATTTGATCGGCCAACGGGTGCTGGTCATTTATTAGCTGCCTAGCAGTCTCGCCTAACTGACGGATCGTATCCGCATAATCCTCAACCGCGTGTTCAAGCGACTCGTGTTTCTTCATCAGATTCTGAGCAGAAATCTCATCTTTACCGCGATCCTCAACCATCATGTATAGCTCCTGCTCGCTCATCCATGACTCGGCCTCGGTAGCGTCGAAGAAGTACTGTTGCGCCTTTTCGTTTTGCAACAGATGTTTGTTTCTATCATCAACGGCGTCCTTCAACTCGCGCCACTTCTCCGTCAGTTCAGAGATCAATTTCTGGAACTCAGGGCTGTCCTCATGTCCTTCGTCAATTAACTTCTGCCCGTTGTTGCACACTAAATTGATCCTGGGTTCGTGATTCTCAATTTCTGTGCGTAATGATTGATTCTTTTTCTTCAACATATGAACGTTGAACAACGAGTTTCCATATTCAGTGCTAGTTGCCTGAGGCATTTTCTCCGCAATCCATAGTTTCTCGTCTTCGACGTCACGACGGAATTGGAAGGCCTCCTTCTTCTTTTCAAGCTGCCGTTGACGATCGATGAGTGGTGCCTTGAGCTGAGCAAATCTCTGGGCGACCTTCTCCTTCTTGCACTTAATTTCCTCCATCTTGTCGTCGGGTACTGTACGTTGCAAATGCTCTGCCTGTTTGTCTAGCTCGGTAACCTGTTTCGCTTTCACTGCCATTTGCGTTTCAATCATCTGTTGCTTTTGCATCAATATATTCACGGACGCCAGATCGGAGCCAGTGTCGGTACTTTCTATCTGCTTCTCCAATTCATTCATCCAAGAGTCGATGTCGTCGCAAGTCTGGTGTATCAACACTTCGCGGTTCGAATCGAACAATCGCTCACCTTTATCATGAGTCGTGGTCTCCAAATCGGCGAATTGTTCTACCAATTCAGCTACCTTCGGTTTGATGATCTCAGCCAGATCCGGTTTCTGTTGAATCAATTCATCTGCTGCTTGCTGCAATTGCTGCAGGCGATCTTTGTTGCTCGCGATCTCCGCCTCAAACGCCTGATGACGAGTCCATTTACTGTGAATAGTCTTTGCACTTCTATACGTCTCGTCTTGGGCAGTGATATGTTTTTCTTGTACCCACTCGCCGAGTTCTTCGCAATCTTGTACAAACATCTGCAATTGCAGCTGATCTTTGAGTTTCTCCATAAGTTGATTAGCCTTCTCACGATTAATTCGCCGACGTTCATTAATGTTTTCGGCCTTCTTCTTCACTTTATCGGCCGCGAAGTGTCCCTCATCGACCAAACGTCCAGCAAATTGCACAACCGAGTTGATTTTTTCGTCGTTGGCGTCCATGGTGGTCATGAAGGCCTCATGTCTCTTAATCATGTGTTCCGCTTGCTCGAAGTTCGCTGGCGTCTCATCCTTAGCGAGAATATGCTCCTGTTGCGACAAGAGCACCTCCGCTTGACGCGCGTCTCGATCGAACACCTGTAGATTCAAAGAGTTAGATAGTAAGTTCTGACGATTCACCCACATCTGATGTAATTCCTCCCAGCCCATCTTTAGCGCGTTCAATCTCTCACGCAAGAACATGTATTGCGTATCGCCATCGCCAGCTTCCGTCGTCAACCGTTCGCCATATTCCATCATCTTCTGATAATCATCAGTATAATTATCGATCTCTTCCTTGATGTTTTGATGCTGCGTGAGTAGTTTCTCGGCGTCAGCGAGACTAGTCGGCGTGTCTTCGCTGGCGACATCGGTTTGCGTTTTCGTGAGCCATGCCTGGAAGTGATCGAGATCGCGTAGGAACCGATGCAAATCTCCGGCCTCCTCGAGTTTGGCGTCGCGTTCTTTTAACATCTGTGTCAGCTGTTCCCAAATCAGATGAATCTGTGCAATTCTCTCGCGTATCACCGCAGCTTCCTCTGGATGTTCCTTCTGTATGACTTCTGCCTCTTTCTCCAGAGCGTCCAGTTTGGCTTGAATGGCAGCCAAATCGCGCTCCATGCCGCTCAGTCTACGTTGCAGTGTCATCACGCCTGTCAAATCCATCTCCAAACTGTCTGTCTGCTGCAGAATTCGCTTTTTGTCTTCGATCCAGGATACGGTTTCGCGACACTCAATGTGGAATGTCTGCACGCCGTGCGCAGAGTTCAGTTCCTCGCGTTTGCCCTCTGCCTTCTCGCGTAACTCTGCCCATTTCTGATTCAGTTCGTTTTGTCGCGCGATTATTTGTTCCGAATTAGGATGTTCAACATGCAGCAATTGTCTGGCCAATTGATTAACCACGGCAACGCGAGATGCATTCGCGTTCATCTCTTTCTCGAAGCCATTATAGCGATGTTTCATGATCTCGACATCTTCGATATCCTTGGCAGGTACCATCGTATCTAGCATTCTATTTTTCTCACCGATCCATTGCTCGACTCCGTCGGTCTCGCTGAACACCTTATACAACGATAACGCATCCAACAGCCTCTGCTTACGTAATTTGGCCAGCTCAAGAAGTTCTTTGTATCTGTTATCTATAGAGGTAAGTCTCTCCAAAACTTCCGGTGATTTAGCGTCTTGTTCGCCTAACATAGATGCCTGCTGGTGAAGTTGATCGATAGTCGTAGCATAATTCTTAAGCTCGTCCGTTACATCTTTGTGCTTCTTCAACAATGATTGTACGTTTGCCTCGTCTCTGCCGACATCTTCGGACGAGACAAGTCGTAAAGTGTCCAACATCCAAATGTCTATATCATCCGCATCTGCAAACAGTTGGTGATAGTCAACAGCCTCTACGAGTCGCTTTCTTCTGAAAGCTGCCAGATCCAGCAAATGATTCCACATGGCAAGTATCTCCTGAAGTCTCTCTTGAATACGATCGGAACCAAAGTGTTGTTGCCGAACTAACTCATCGCCAACCGCTGCGACTGACATCAATTGCGGTTCGTGCGATTGTATCTCATTTTCTAGTGCCTTATGCTTGGACAGCAATAAATTGATAGTGGTCAAGTCGTGACCGATGTCACCTGTGGATACAATCTGCTCCTTTTCCTTTATCCAATTTTCTTCGTCCGCCATGTCCCAATAAAACTGCCAGAGTTTTCGAGATTCCTCGAGCCTGGTACGACGCTCGATCGCTAACCGCACCAACTCGGCGTACGCGTTCTCCAGTTGTTGCACGCGTTCGACAATAATGGCCGGATCACACGGTCGATAGCCTTCTCCGTGCTCTAGGAATCTCTGGCTCTGTTGGACAACGGCCTTGACTCTTTCGCCAAGCACGTTGATATCTGCTTCGACAAGAGAGTGCTTCTGCAACAGATCCTCCACGCCCATCAGATGTTTGCCATAATCGTCTGTTAGCAGTCGCATCTTGATTTCCTCCATGCTGTCCAAAATGTATAACATCTCTTGGAAGTTTTGCTGTAATTGCAATGATAGTTCCAGCCGCATTCGCCTAGCGCGGAGCAATTCCAAAAGATAGTTCCACAATCGCAGCACATTATCCTTGCGAGCATTAATACGCTCGATGTCATGATAGTTCTCCGCTTCGAGCTCCTGCGAAACCGCCATGACAGCCTGTACGCGCTCTTCATAAGCAAAGATGTCAGTCTCGATGGCTTCATGCTTTTTCGCGGCGGCTTCCACGGCAGCGAGATCAAAACCGAAATTATCCTGTGATACCAATCGCTGATTCTCTGACAACCATGTCTCGCGCATGCTAGCCTTCCTATTAAATCTGGCAGCTAACTGCTCCAACTTCTCCTGCCGAATCAATTCCTCACGGAGAGCCAATTCTCGCTCGTGTTCAGCTTTCTCTAGTCTCTCCCAAGCCTTGTTAATATCGGATATCATCTTGCCTTCTTTAGGTGTATAGGGCTTCTGATTGTTCGCGCGCATCTTCGATTGTAAAGTGAATAGCAATACCTCAAGATTACCTTTCTCCACAAACTTGGGAGGTTTTTCCACCGTGCGATAATTCGAGAATTGTGAGAGTTGTGATTGAACGCCTACCAAAGAATTCGCGAACCTGCGATCGCCGAGCGCTTCTATCGTAGCCTCGATCCAGCGCAGCAGATCGCTGGTAAGACTTTCGTACTCGTGTATCATACGGTCGTTCTCCATCGCGATACCAACCACTTTGCCAATCCTCTTACCTTGCACGGTTTCCTGTTTCATCTTCGAGAAATAATGATAATACGTGACGACATATGTTATGATAGATTTTTCATCCGGATGATCGACAAAGATGTCCTCGGCGTCCAGTAATTTCGTGAGTCCGAGTTTATCCTCCGCGACATTGAAAGCATTATTGAGATTGTAAATCGCATTCGACTTGGAGAGCTTGTCGAACTGAATCAGATCTGGACGGTGCTTATGTATGATCGCGTTGAACGCCAGACCGTCCCGCCACGATGTCGTAAAATTTCTCACGTTCACGTTGTGATAGCCGGCGGTCTTCATTTGACACCACAGCAATAACGCGTCCTTGGCGGATTTGGTCTCTTGATTATCCGTCTCTTCGATGGTAATATCCTGAATCTGAAATCTCAAAATTATTGTCCAGATGAGACCCAGACTCAAACGTGGATTCCCATCGACGATATCGTGAGATCCCATGTTCTCCAGGTGTACCCTCTGCTCGCGCAGGAACTGCAGCGCCTTCTCCACATTCTCCAGGCAGTGGATACGCATCTTGCCCTTGGTAGGACGTGGTAAACGCTCACCCGACAAGATTTCCAACAGCCTTATCAGCATTTTTCCGTCTCGCAGATCGACGTATAGATCGCCGATTCGGCACGAACATCGGACTAAGTGGGAATTGACCCATTTTTGGAAAGTCTTCTTCTGCACTAATTCACGCTCACCTGGTGAAGAAGATCGCACAAGAGTGATTTCAGTGAATCACGTGAACAAATAAAATTTAAAAGAATATATACTTATTTTAAAACTAATTTTAAACATAAAATAATTATTCAATAAATATCATACATTGCTCAGTAAATTGCATTGATAGACTTGCATTGATAGATTAAGTAATTAATATAAAATTAGTAATTAATACTTTTTTTACCTCGCAGATCGAATACGACTTTATCATAATCCATTTCAAAATTAAAAATGCATGCAATTTTTTATTTTATTATATTCTCACTTGAACAATCTACATTACTCTATTCTATCCAATTACACTTAATAAATTTAGTTTTCTACAATACACGTATTTTCAACATACATCTCGACCACTTTCAATCTAGTCTGAGAAGCAACTACTTGAAAGTGAAGTTATCAAATTCTTAAAGCGATTATCAAGAGGATGTGGTTTGATAATCTTAATCGTATAACCTTCTAATACAATTCGCAATGTTAGTATCGTCGTTTATTAATATTGCTATTCATTAGAGAATTAATGAAACTAAATCACACTATATCTTTACAAAAAAAAACAAAATAAAAAAACCTATATATATAAATGAAGCATTAAAAAAGAAAATCAATAAATTTTCGTACCACGCTAGTGCCTTGATACGTGATCGTTCGAAAAGTCTCGAACTCGAATTTCCCCCCTCGTATTCGTACTCGTCGACAATCTCTTGTTGTAGCGTGGGGTCCCAACCCCCACGCACTATCGAGATGTCGGTCGTCATTTTGTCAATCAGACCAACAGCTCACTTTTGCTGTACCCTTAAAAAGGGTGTACCTAAAAACAAAACCGCAAATTTATTAGTGCAGAAACTAAAAATATTTGTGAGAAGATATTTTGTATCTTCTTTTTGTTTTTCAAATATATATATATATATATATATATATATATATATATGTGTAT